AGTCAAAAGAAAGGGGGATGAGAGCGATCGTACCGCAGAGTGAAGGTTATGAGAGGGATCTCATAAGGGACTTGGTGAGAGAGGAAAGATGAGAGAGGAAGAATGAGGAAGGGGTGAGCAAAGAGTGTGCACGGAAAGGGTATCAGGATTGGAAAGATGAGAGAGGAAGAATGAGGAAGGGGTGAGGAAAGAGTGTGGAGAGTGCATCAGGATTGGGAAGACTGGTAGCAGAAGAAGAAAGGGATCAACAGCCAGAGAAGGGTGAAGGTGGAAGACGACTATTTCCGCATAACTTCATACCGGAGGTCCATGGCCGAGCATGATAAATAGGATACTATTTGTCATGCTCAGCTATAGGGCAGGAAGGTATGACGTCATCACCCACAATGCAATACCAGCATGACGTCATTCATCCGGTTAGGCCAGGGGCCTCCGTCCGCGTCTGGAGCCGAAAGCGGCCCACCCACCCAACCAACGACGGGTTTTGCTTGGGTGGGAATGGGCGCCCGCTTAACCCTAAACAGTACACCTGGGGTCCGCGCGGACACCAGCACTATATATTCTGTAATATCTTTTTTGTTTCTAAAGGTTTTTTTCTGAAATTTTGGGTAATTGTCACCCACAAAGTTGTCTCTTAATACAGCGCAGAAAACTCCGTTTCTACCATTTATAAAAAAATTATATCTGCTTTTCTTTTGGCCAAGCCGGCTTTCGATCATAATGGATACACTGGCGTTCTTATACATTACCTTATTTCCGTTTTTATATGTTTTTATGCACTCATCGTATGTCTACCAAGTTTTCAGAGAATGGTGTAGGAATAGAATTAAATTTTAATAACTTTGGTGTAATAATGACGTCATATGACGTCAGAGCTAATAATATAGTCCGCCATATTGGATTTCGACCAATGACGTCATCAAATTACCATATTCTATGCATATTAAATGATTTAACTTATATTTCATAATGTAAGATGTTATTAATGTTGGAAAAGAAGTGTAATTTAATATAAAACTCAGAAAATTTTTATGTTTAAACCAAAATTACTTCTATTTTCAAAAAAACTGCCTCCAAGAAACCCGTTGCCATGGCAACACAAAAAAACATCAACTTACTAGTATTAAACTAATACGAACTTTTTTCCAGAGACATTTTTAGCAAAGGTCTCCAAATTTGATACTTCTAGCGCAAGCCGTTTAGCCGCTATCTGAGATCAAAGTTGGGCCTCAAAAGCCCCTTCAGTCTAAAATGGGTTTAAAAATCGGGTATTTCTTCTTGTCTTCTTTTCTTCACCAAAAAATAGAAAAAGGTCAAAATGTATGATTTTTGTATGTAATATGGACACAAAGGTTCCCACATCAGTTTGCAAAACAATTGAGCTGGTAGCATGTTGATGATTTCTAAAAATTAGCAAAAAACTGTTCCGGGGTCCGCGCGGACCCCAGGTGTACAGATTAATCAGTCCGGGAAGGTGTACTGTTGAGGGTTAAGGCGGTCGCCTCAGCGCATAGTCAACTTTTGGCTTCAGACGACTATTTCCGCATAACTTCATACCGGAGGTCCATGGCCGAGCATGATAAATAGGATACTTTTTGTTTACTCGCGGGGAGCAGGTCATGACCTCCCGCTTGCGTTGTTTCAACAGGGAAGAGCAAAATGTCTTGCAGTTTTAGCGTCAGATTTTCAGTGTTTGTTAGATCATATACAGGCATCCATGCATCTATCATTCTTCGAACTAGTTCGTAGTTAGGTGAAATGTTTATTGGAATCACACGAATCGGTATCAAATATCAAAGTATCAAATAATAAACATCAATCGCCCACGGCGGACCCGCCGCGCTGATAATCCCTCGTACTGTCCACAAATTGTCAACAAATACGTGAAAATGAGGTGGAATAAGTGTCATGTAAATCTCAAAATACAAAGGTTGCTCATTAACGACCGAAATCTCGCGAAAGATTTCTTACGCAGAAGAAGTCTCGCAGTGGCGTTCCCCATTACCAGTTCTGCGAAAGTTCTGCGCATTCTCCCGCAGAACGTCCCTCACTCTCCCGCAGAACGTACCGCAACTATCAAACTCGCCAACGTTCCGATTTTCATATCCCCCTAGTAAAAACTTCTTTTGCCCAAATGTCGGTTAGATACAAAGTTGTCACCTTATGGAATGAACTAACTCCAGCCCAAAAGAATCCTTCCTTGTCTTTTCTCTCATTTAAATAAGCTCGGAAAAAAACCAGCTGATAATATAAACGAACCTAGCCCCCTGTAGTAGTTTCATTTAGTGTTTTTCTCTTATTTTAACTCATACTAATTATTATCATTATCATTATTGAAGAAATCGGCAGTCACAGACCATGTTGCCAGACACAATTGTGTGATAGACTGGGAGGGAGCCAGGGTCATAGATAGGGAGGACAACAGGAGAATCCGGTGGATTAAACAAGCAGTCTGGATAAGGAAATCAACCCCAGTGATGAACCGAGACGAGGGGGGATACAAGCTCAGCCACGTTTGGGATTGCATTCTCGACGAAAAAGCGCCTCCTAGTTTGGCGATAAATAGCGCGCGCTAGCGGCGAGTTGCAGAACTCCAGTCAGAAGCTCTGAGGAAGGTGTCTGATAGACATCGAAACGTAAGCAGGTGAGAACCATACTGTTTGGGTAAGAAGAAAATTCTATACCCCATCTTTAATTTTGAATAGTTTAGAAGAGGAGGGTCTTGTATAAGCATCCCATGCTTCTCCCTCCTCCTGCACCTGTTTTTATCCTTGTTTTGTATTGTTACTGTCTGTTTTGTTTAATGTGCAAACTAATAAAAAAAGCAAAATTTAATTGCTGTAGCCTAACAAGACTCTTTGTATATCAAATTAATTGCAAGATTATCTAAAAGTCCTCTAGTACACCCCCATGAAACTCCTTCCTCTTCGCCCCCGCCGTTCTGCTTCGCCCCCGCCCCGTTCTGCTTCGCCCCCGCAAAAAATCTGCTTCGCCCCCGTCGTTCCTCTACGCCCCCGGCGCAATTCTGCTTTGCCCCCGTCCTTCTGCTTAGCCCCCAATGGCCGCACAGCTCACAGTCGACACGAAAATCGTCTGCAAAATAACAATAAAGGCTGTGCCGCCAAATTTAAAGTAGCTAGCCCATGCTCCGGCAAACATTCTGGACCACCTTTCTGCCAAGTGGCGTTGCACAAATCCTTCCCATTCAAAAGTTTACCCCTACCTCACGGCCCGTCAGTGGTCTTCTTTACAACAAAATCCTCTGCCACAGCCCACCATTATAATTCAAGTCACATGGATGACACAGTAAAGTAAAGACCAAAACTCAACGAACAAACTGCTGAACGTGTTCTGTATTCAACAAAGACTTTATCACCTGGACAGTCCCATGTCATGTATTTCATAAATCCCCCCCTCCCACCCATGCAGGGGAGCGTAGTAAGTGTGGAAACATATCAGATTAAACAGTGACCTGTTGGTTTAGCATTGCATACTTAACTTAATGAAGCCCCCAATACAAGTGAACTAGGTTGTGTGACTTGTAGGAAGGCATGCAAACGTTTACCTGAAGAAGCGGACGTGCCACAAGTGGCATATGGTATGAAGAGATGACAGTCCGGGTTACCAGAGGTGGCTTCCGCACTAGACGAGACCACTGACGGGCCGTGAGGTAGGGTAAACTTTTGAATGGGAAGGATTTGTGCAACGCCACTTGGCAGAAAGGTGGTCCAGAATGTTTGCCGGAGCATGGGCTACTTTAAATTTGGCGGCACAGCCTTTATTGTTATTTTGCAGACGATTTTCGTGTCGACTGTGAGCTGTGCCGCCATTGAGGGCTAAGCAGAAGGACGGGGGCAAAGCAGAATTCCGCCGGGGGCGTAGAGGAACGACGGGGGCGAAGCAGATTTTTTGCGGGGGCGAAGCAGAACGGGGCGGGGGAGAAGCAGAACGGCGGGGGCGAAGAGGAAGGAGTTTCATGGGGGTGTAGTAGAAAGCAGTCATCATGAACAGCACTAAATCAAGTTTAAGCCAGCTCTCCTGGAAGAATGCCTATCGAGTGTGGTTTTGGGCAGCTCTCATCCCCTCTCTTGGAAGAAAAGCTGTCACCCATGGGTGGTCAGCTAAAGGAGAGTTGTTCCACGATGAACCTCAACATACCACAGTTTTAGCCAGCTGCCAGGATGTTTGTTAGTGCTGCTAATGTGTTTATTAAACAAGTCTTTTCATCAAACACCAAACATTGAAATGGTAACAAATTGCCAAATGTTCAATGCACGTACCGCAAACAACGCCGACGTCTTCATCATGCCACGGGTCGCAGTCATGAACCCTCCATCCCTTGTGCGAGCAGTTAAACAGGCTACTCTCTGTCCCATCACACTGTAGGTCCTCTATGTAGATCGGTCCCGTTCCTACAGTTTCAAAAAGTTAACAGATCAGATGTAGTCATTACAATAATTTCCCAATTTTGTAGATTAGTTAATACATTTTGAAGGTATTACCTACGTTAAGCGAGGGTCACAACCCACCGTACGCGCAACTACATGTACATGCTGTCTACGTGAAAAACGGGGGCAAAAACGTGGGCAAATTTTCTGGATCCGTGCGTGGTGAGTACCACCTCCGTAAGGAATCCTACGGATTTGCTGCATGCAGACACGATGTAGCACTTTAAGTACATGCAAAACTTTCTCTGCGTGCGGTCTGCGGATTCATCTCCCGTGCAGAGTCGGGCCTTTTCGTACAAGGGATTAAAGAAGCCATCCACACTAGGGCATTACAACCATTCCTCAACAGAGACGGGGGTTCCACAGACTTTCTACTATGATCCACTACTCACGGAGTCACGTGTGTTATCTGCGTGACGTCACGAAAGCCACGGCGGTCGGTTGCTAGGCTAAAAGTCGCATTACTAGGGAGGTATCGGGTTACAGAACGCGTTCGAACGTGGCCGCGCGGGAGTCCCGGGCCGGCCCGGGGGTAACGGGTAAAATTTGAAAATAAACAAAAGTAATTGGAGAGTAAACACTGGTCAAAATAAAATGTAACAAGTGATTTTGTTAACCTCAAATGTTATTCTTCCACAGTCTTTGCTCAACTTTGTGTACATTTGCTTCCAAATGAGATAAATTTCGGATTTCAAAAACGGTTCACGAGAACCAAACAACTGATTTTAAGGGGCCCCGAATATCAAAAATAAGGTTTGATTTTTTTTATTTTTAGAAATATTACAGTAAAGGTAAACTTTCTGTCTTAGGATTCTTTAAATCTTTAACTAAAACTCGAATTATAGCCAAAAAAGAGCTAAAAACGCAGTTTTTCAACTTTAAATACCGATAATTCATAATCGCGGCCATATTTAAAAAATCCCTAAGACAGAAATCTGTCTTTGTCGTTGCTCTTCCAAACAAGACCTCAATGAGGTAATTTGAACGATTTTTGGGAGTGGTTAAAATACCATGTTTGCACGCGTGCTATGACACTTAGATATGGGGACCTGTATTTTATAACAGCGTAAACAAGAATTCTAACCTTCAAGGTCACCCACGATGACGGCAGTGGCTTCGTTACATGTTACATATCCACAATAAAATCACGGCATAGATGTAATATTTTGAAAACGATTCATATTTGTGGAAAGGTGGATTTTTTTCTGTTCCTTGGTTCCCAAGTAAAAAAAGGCTTGAAGTAGCCGGTTGTAGCGACTTTACTGTAAATGACCGCGGGTAACCCCGGATGGAACGCCCGTTCTATTCGAATGACGTCATATCGAACAAGATTCGCGGGTTCGGGGGATTTGATCTCCATAGTAGCAGAGTGGGACTTTTGGGCCCAAATCTGACCATCGTGAGCGTTAAGTTGTACAGTTGAAAATTTTGGTGAGTCCAATTTCTTGTGTTGGATATTACAGTTTAAACCTGTTTCATAATGATTTCTACCAACACAGACGAACCGATGAGCATTTAAGATATTATAACAATGCTGTGCCTGTGGATGTCCGAAATTGTCAGCAGTCATTGTGCATTATATATTCCCTGATGTTTGGAATCTGAGATTTCTTGTTATTAATTCCATAAGTACAACACAGTGAGAAAATAGTTTCAAATGATGTGCATTATCATCTCCATAAATACTTTGTGTAAAGGAAAGTGGTACCTCTGCCAAAATGGGCACCAAGGCGAACTCCATATACATTCGGATAGCCCAGAATCCTGCAAACAACTTCTGCATCCTTCAAGTCGAAACCGTTGTGACAAACTGTGCCCCATCTGTAACTGTCGGCCGGCCGGACTTCCACACGCCCCTCGTTTGGACCGGAACCTCCTACAAGACGGATTCGGCTGGAATCTGAAAATGAAACAATCATCCCTATTAATGATATCATAGTAAATACATAATTCTTTTTATTAGAACATTGCATTGCTGTTCATTATGTTACGATGCTAAAATGTATTCAAACATCCGTGATCAAATTTTTAGCAACCACTGTCGCCTTTATGATAATGATTAATGAATGACCAATAACTTGCATACGTTAAACCCGCGAGGGTTACTGTTACAGACACGAGACCTTATTTACTTTACAGACACGTGACGTCAGCAAACGTTATAGAGACGGGGGACGATATAAGTTCCCTGTCACGTTTGATGAACTGTTGACGTCACACATCAGTTATGTCTCATAAGGTCCTGTCTATGTAACCGTATCTCTCGCGCATTTCCGTTAGAAAGGGATTGTTCATTAATTATCCTGATGAATGAGGTGATCGTTAAAGATTTGGTCCTTGTGTACCATCTTTGTTGGAATCAAGATTTTTCTTAGTACTGAGTACTGCTCTTTGTCAACTACAGGAAACGCGTTGTATCAGTAGCTTCTTGAGTTTTCGTGCTAAATCACATCTAAATAACCAACCGCTACCCAAAACATATTTAACACGATGGTCAGGTTGGTAGCCCTTTGTTCGCGTTGTTATGGCTGAGTGCGCCGCCCACTCACCGCGGGGTGCCTACCTCGCACCCAGTCACTATACACAAGCAAACACTGCAAATATCTCTCAAAATAACGCATAATCGGAATATTATGTCGAGAAACAACCGTAAGAATTGAAAAGAAGACAGGTTGTTTTTGTAAATAAGAAGAGCTAAAAACGTGACAGCAAATTTCAGCGTTTAATAAGTCCTTCTTACGCTAGTGTTTAGTTCCAGCAACTTTTAGCAATTGAACTTTGAACCGTGTGACCTTTCTAGTAAGGATGTTTTTTTCTAATTTACGGGCTAAACAATAGTTGAATTCCCAATCTATAATCTTACCAATAATTTGGTAATTAGCATGTATTTAACCTCGAGCTCTTTGGTTGTAGTCAAGAATTTGTGAAGCGTGGTTTGCGATCTTAACGTAACGCAAGATTCGTGGAAAGAGGGAGGGGGTGGAAACGATCAAATACGTGCGGTGATGAAATCTTTTATAGCGATGGAAGTAACTGCTTAAGTCCTAAAATTAACAAATCAAGAATTACAGTAACCATAGAGGTAAAATTTGAGACACAGATGAAGACCGGGCCATTGTTAAAACGTGCGAAGTGAAGAACAATGGGGGCGGAGACGAGGTACGCATTTCAAAAGACAAGCTCGCGGGTAAATCTTGCTGGGCGAGGTGCGATCAAAACATTTCTTGTCCACGCCTTCAAACCTGCGAACCAATCAACTACTGTTGTCAATGGCGAAATGAGTGATTGACATTGAATATTTCTGAGCAACGTGTTAGGAAAAATGGGACCGGATTTGACCATCGTGTAACGTCTTTCTTCTTCTTTTTGCGGTAATGCTTAACTGCCGTCCTTTGGTGGCCAATACAAAACGTGGATTCTTCAGGCCTCCGCCGGGTATTTCGTAGTAAATCACCAACTTGCAGCATGCCCCCACTCTTTTTCGAAAGATGTGGTGGAGTGTGGCTCTCCCCAAACACGGAACCTCCAGCTCCCATGATGTTCTTTTCAAAGACGTACCTAACCGTATCAAAGTACTAATTACCTTTGCCAAGAAGGTTATGTTTTCAGAGGCGTTCGCGTGTATGTGTGTGTGTGTGTCCGTCCGTCCGTCCGTCTGTGGAGACGATAACTTAAGAAGGCTTAAATGGATTGTTTTGATACTTGGTAAGTGGGTAGGTCTTCATGAAAACTCAAAATGATTAGATTTGTACCCCCTAGCGGCTTGTTATGGTACTGCAGCTGAACTTTTGGGTTTGATATCTCATCATGTAGACATGCTAGGGTGTTAAAATTTGAATGGTAGGTAGCTCTTTTGCTGGGGAAGAAGGGATGTGAGTTTGTGCCCCCTAGCGGCTTGCTCTGGAACTGCAGGGCTATCTGATTAAAACTATTCAAAAGACGATAACTCAAGAACTGGTTGACAGATCATCTTGATTTTTGCATAATTGCTCCATAATTATATGAAACATTACGTAAGCTTAATATGTAGATAGCTTACGCGATGTTTGATATAATTGTGGGACAATTATGTAAAGATGGATTTAATTTGCATAATTTATGCAAGTATGGATTTTATTTGCATAATTTATGGGGACATTATATAAATCAGCATTCCGTGATATATGCATTCCGTGATAGGACAATTAAAGCTTGTGACATTTGTAATTTAGAACGAGAGAAACATGACCATAATATTGATCATGTAAATGAAGACTTAATTTGCATAATTAATAAGAAAATGTTATAATTCTGTAATGATAACTACCTGGAATTTCATACTTGCGGTATTTGTAAGTGTCTTCCCAAGGGAACAACGTCGAGGCATGTAGGTAAAATCGAACCCAGAACCCATTGGTGCCAGGCCGAATATCTTACCATTACGCCACGCTACATCACCTAGGTGAATGTGAAGCACCATAGCGCTGGGTACATTTGTATACGGATTAGAGTAGAATTGACGTACCTGTACGACAGACCACGCCTGCGTCTTGGCCATGATCACAGTCCTGAATCGTCCACCCTGCGTAAGAGCAGCTGAAGAGGCTGGTCTCGTTACCATCACATCGTAGGTCATCCATGTAGATTGGTCCTGTTCCTGTGTTTGAAAAAGTGTGTAGCAGTGAGTCCCCTAAAATCGATCTTAAAAACAACAAATTTTAAAATCAACTTAACAAACAAAATGAAGATCTTACCTTGGCCAAAATATGCATCATTTTGAACCTGGGTAGCGTTAGGATAACCCAGCATTCTGCAAACAACGTCTGCATCGTCCATGTTGAAACGGTTGTGGCAAACTGTGCCCCAGGTCATACTGTCCTCTGGTCGGACTTCCACGCGTCCTTCGTTGGGACCGGAACCACCGATGAGACGGATTCTGCTGGGAGTCTAGATATATTATCATATATATATATATATATATATATATACATGGCGGAAATTGAGGTGAGAACTTGCAATGCAGTGTGTGTTATAAATGACATAGAAATAAAGCGTAAGGCGTTAAGTCTTCGCAGTCGACTATACCAAGGACTTCTAGTTGAACGCCCTTGACTATACATAATCATTTTGTAGTTTGGCGGGCAATGGACTTGAAAGACCTATACTTTATTGTTTATTTCATTTTATTTCAAATGACTACTTACATATTTCATCCAATCTAAGCTTTCATATTATAATGAATACTTCATCAATGTACCACAGACAACTACGCCATTTTGACAGCCGTGAATCCCCCATCCTGCGTACGAGCAGTCAAACAGGCTACTCTCGTTCCCATCACACCGTAGGTCAGCCATGTAGGCCAGCCCTTGTTCACCTAAAAACAATATTTGGAAGATTAAAAAAATGTAGTCCTCATAGAAACAGACAAAAAGGGCTTATTAAGTCGAATGCGAATACTCAAAGAAAGTCGTTACGTGAGGCAACAGAACACGAACCGTACACTTTACCTGTGTCATAAAAGTCGTTTGCCCAGATATAGCCCAGCATCCTGCAAACAACGTCTGCGTCCCTTAGGTCGAAGTGTTCAGCACAGACTCCGCCCCAAGTCCAACTGTCGGCCGGTCGAACTTCAACAAGTCCTTTGTTTGGTCCGTGAGACCAACCCCAGGGAACAAGACGGATTCTGCTGGAATCTAAAGGTATTTCCTTCTAATATCAATCAGTTTATGCAAATGTTAGCTAATGGCTAATTTTAAATGATGAGATTATTACGGTTCTTAAATTTGATACTTTTCTAGAAATACCACTTAAACTATGTATTTAGTAATGTTTCTAATAGACTCAGTATTTTTAGAGGCCCGAAGTTAAAAATTTCCCTCAATATTTTAGAAACTAGCCCTTAATTAGTCCTAGTCTGGAATATGCAGAGGTAATTTGGCATGGCCGTACAACCGGTTAATCCACCCTTGTTGAAAGATTCAATAAGAAAGTTCCCTTCTTGTGCTCCTCTTGTGCTCA